TTATTATTTTTGTGTGCGTGTACCGTCAAATCAGATCTGACTGGGTACAGGAGGAGATTGTCCCTCCTTCCCCGGCAGAGCATCTGGTGGATTTGAACCATTCGCCTCTGGGATTGTAGTTGCAGCTCCTTGCCACTAGGCCACCAAAGCTCCCCTAACAGGCATTCTTGTACCATTTGATTTATAGTCTGTGAAAACTGACTGCAGGGTCAGCTACAAGAGAGAAAGTATGAGAAACTGGTTTTCAAATAAAAATCTTTCTGATATCTTATTTTCGAGTTTTAGAGAAGGGGGGAAGGTATCATTTAGAAGTTCCAATTGGAATGTAGTAGATATTAAAATGTAGTAGGGTTAAACTCTGTTGGAATTGTCCTTTCTTTTTAACTCATGTAGTTTTACAGTTTGCTATTCTACTTCTCTTATTTAAAAAAAAAAATAAAAACAAAACAAAAACCAAAAACAACAAACAAACACTAGATGGAGTTTAATTGGGCTAAGCTGTCACTAGGTAACTTGCTATTCCTTAAGGCATTTGTTACCTTGTGACTTTGTTTTCTTAACCAAATTGCAAGAGGATTTCTTTCTGGCCTAACATCAGAGAACTTCATAAGTCAACCTCTAACAGAAAATAAGAAAAAAGTTTCCACAGATTTCAAATAATTTTGTTTAAAATTGAAGCAGGTAAATTTAATTTTTATATTCATACTAATAACAAAAACAGCAATCAAAGTTATGACCTTATATAATGAAGACAATACTAAGCATTTTAATTCCAGGGAATATATTATTAATATGTTAATATTGCCTATGATTACAAATAATGTCTTACACTTTGACTAAATTAAAAAGCACACAGAAAACTAAACAACCTCTAAAACCAAATGCCACATAGGATAAAAATAGTCTTTTTTGTAAATATATTTGCATATTAAGTAGGAAAGGCAACATATCTTTAAAAAGAATCATCAGGATAATCTGTGACTTGCCTGAAGTAGGTACTGACTAAACAAAAGTGAGGAATGAAGCACATTTGAGTGTGCATGTACCCATGATGTTTGACTGCTCATGGTTATCTTGAGAGAGATAAAAAGAAAAAAACTATTATAGCTATTACAGTCCTTTCTCTGGAGAACAATCCTTTTGGCATTGAGCGTTTGAATTTTTTTTTCTTTCTTTCCAATCTTTTTTTTTTTTAGCTTTCTTCTCTTATTCTATTTCTTCTTACTTTCTACTTATTAAAATTTTAATGAATCTCCATTTTAAGAATCTTTCAATCTCCTTCTGGTGGCTTTTTTTTCTTTCTTCTCATAATAATGCACATGTCAGATGACAGCTACTGGTATAATATCATTGGGAAGCATTTTAGATAAGGTTGTTGTCGTTGTGTGCATCAAATTGATTAACACAAATAGTGATGCTTTGAGCAACAGATCTGAACCTTGTCTTATCCTGTCCTGCCAGCATGATCTCTGTCATGGTCAAGCCCATTTTTGCAGTCACTGTGTCAAGCTGTTTCATTTAGAGTCTTCCTTTCTTTTGCTGACCTCCTAGCTTTCCCAACATAATGTGTCTGTGAGGTTTTTTTGTTTGGGTTTTGGTCTTTTTCCTAAGCCTGGGCCCCTCCTGACAGCAAAATGTCATCATCCTTGTCTCTAGGGAGCACCCTGCTTGCACTTCCTCGGAAGCATATTTGTTTGTTCTTTGGCAGTCCATAGTGTATATTCAATACCATTCAGTCCTGGAGATTCTCAGGACAGTTCTCTTCTCCCAATCCACTTCTTCATTTCCATCCTTAATTCCTGTTCTCTATCCTTTAACCACTCTGTTTGCTATTTTCATTGTTGTTATTAGGTGCCATCAAGTTGACTGTAACTCATAGCAACTCTGAAAACTGGATCTAAACCTTGCACTATCCTGTATTATCATCATCAATTCTGGTGTACTTGTTAGAGTCACTGTGTCAATTCTTCTTGTTGAAGGTCTTCTCTTTCAGTGATCCTCCAACTTTCCAAGCATGATGTCCCTTTCCAAGGACTGACTTCTCCTAACATGCTCAGGGTATGTGAGACAAGTTTCTCTATCCTTACTTCCCATGAACATCCTTTTTGCATTTTCTTCAAGACCTTTTTGTTGTTCTTTTGGCAATGCATGGAATATTCAGTAGTTTTCTCCAACAACACAATTCAAAGCATCAAAATTTCCTGTTATGCTTATCCATGTTGTTGTAGTTCATGTGCTGTAAAACGGCCTGTGACTCCTAGTGACCATATGTATAATAGCTCTGAAGCCTGTTCTGTCCTGAGCCAGTATCACTGACTCTGAAGCACCTACCCCCATTGCCCTAGTTACTGTATCAATCCATCTTATCTGGGGTCTTCCTCTTCTGCAATGTCCCTCCACCCTTCTGAGCATGATATCGTTCTTCAAGGATTGGTCCCTCCTGGCCATATGCCCAAAATGTATAAGAAAGAGCTTTAAAATTCTAGCCTCTGAGTAGAAACTTGGTTTCACCCTCTCCAAGACAGACCTATTTGTTTTCTCGGCAGTCCATGGTATGTTCAAGACTCTTCTCCAGCACCACAACTCAAAGGCATCGATTCTTCTTTCATCCTTAGTCATCGTCCAGCTTTCTGATGTATATCCTTATTCATAATAGCCTCTAATGATTTTAACTTTAAAATAACATCTTCATAAAGTCACTTTTGTTTGAGATTCACTAGAATCTCAGCTCTTATTGCTAAATCCATGTTTAGAAAGCCATTTTGTAAATTATACTGATTCATTGACTAGTTATTGAACTAATTTACTCTACTATTAATATTGCTAAACTGTTGCTTTAAACAAGTGGTTTGCAAAGCACCTTTACATATATTATTATTAATCCATAAAATAAGTTACCTTCATCATCTCCTTTAGAGATTAAAAAAAAATAGGCTGAGAGTCTAGGTCTAGGGGAAATGATTGGGTAACCTCAGAGTTACCAAATTGTAAGATGTCAATTTATGGATATGAGACTGTCAGAGTCCATTTAACATGACCCAATTTTTAACTCTACACAAAAATCTGATTCCTTAGGGTACAAGGCCATATAGTCTTGATTGCTATCTGAAGATGAAAGTGAAAGAATTCCCTGTTAAGGGGTAGAAGACGATGATTCTGTTACTTTACCAAGTTAGAAAAATATCCTCCTTTAAATTTTTACCCCACAGTCCAATTGACCTAAAACACAAGTGCTAGCTTTTATTTATTCTTTTCTTCCTAACATAAGCCATAAGAACATTTTCATGATATTGGTGCTTGTGAATTATAAGTTCCTAAGATGTACAACTGAGCTAAGAGATCATACTACAGAAAACCAGAACTGGGTCATATTCTCTTACGGTTCTGTACAACTTTTCCATACATTTTGGAGTATGGGTACTCAGCATCATTTTCATGATTCATGGAATATAGATCAAGTATTTTCTGCTGCACTATATTGTTAAAAGGATTTAAAAAGGTTTATAAATTAAGACATCTAAATTGAAGGTATCACAATTTTTGACAACATAGGCATAAGGGAAAATTCTTACCTTTACATTGAAAAAAGTTATGTTACAATAATCATCAGAATGCATAAATATGAAGTTTATTATCTACCTGGATCTTACCCATTTGAAATAAAACTATATTTCATTTCTGTTGAATAAAGCTATTAATGCACCTGAAAAGAGGACTTATTTTGTTTTCCTTGGGACCTCTGATAAGAAGAAGGTTGTTCTGTCAACCCAAAATCAGGTGATTAAAATCTACCAGCTGTTTCATTGGAGAAAGATGGATGATCTCTTCCCCAGTGATTTCAGCATCTGAAAACCTGTTGAAGGGTCAATTTTGAGTTGGTTCTGACTTGACAAAAGGGTCTTCTTGTTGTTTTTCTTTTACCTAGAGATCAGCTGACCTATAAATAACTATAATTATCACATTACATATTTCTTTATCTGAAAAAAAAATATCTACCTCTATGAACTTTCAAAACTTTTTTTATCTTAAAAAATTTACTCTAGGACAATTTTCATCTTGAATATCACCATGACTATGAAGTTTTTGCAGCTACAGCTTTATAATTTGATACTGACTGAAATCGTTCTAAGTGGAAATGTGCTAATTTGGCCTACAGATGGTAGCCACTGGTTGAATATTAAGATCATTCTGGAAGAGCTGATTCAAAGAAATCACAGTGTGACTGTACTGGCTTCCTCAGAAACTCTGTTCATAAACTCCAACCCGGACCCATCTGTGAATTTTGAGGTGATTCCTACTTCCTACAAGAAGAGTAATATAGATGAACTGATTGAACATATGATAATGTTGTGGATAAATCACAGACCAACTCCACTCACACTCTGGAAGTTCTACAAAGAACTAGGAAAACTCTTAGATACCTTCTTTCGAATTAATTTACAAATCTGTGAGGGAGTGCTAAACAATTCCAGGTTAATGACAAGACTTCAGAAAGGTGGCTTTGATGTGTTAGTAGCAGACCCAGTAACAATCTGTGGTGATCTGGTTGCTCTGAAATTAGGCATTCCATTTATTTACACCTTGAGATTCTCTCCAGCTTCAACAGTGGAAAGACACTGCGGAAAAATCCCAGCACCAGCCTCCTATGTACCAGCAGCCTTATCAGAACTCACTGACCAAATGACCTTTGGTGAAAGGGTTAAAAACACCTTATCTTATTCTCTGCAAGATTATATTTTTCAGTCTTATTGGGGAGAATGGAATTCATACTACAGCAAAATTCTAGGTAAGTCTCCACAATCTATTTCTTGTTAATAACTCAGGGTGCCTGATATTTGTTCTTCTTATTGATACAGTAAACTATTTTCATCCAACTGTGTTCACTAACTTGAAATAATTATACTTATTTTGCTTCCTTTTAACAGTTCCTTGACATTTTTTCTCTTGATGAATTATTTAAAAAAGAAATAGTAATAGTAGTGTGTGAGTGATAATGTCTTAATCTAAATTTTTCTATATAATACTACTTCAGTAGTATTATATATATGTATGTAATATTTAAACATAAATTATGTTATCTGCAAAAGTTCTACCACATCACACTTAGAAAACGTTGGCAGGTATTTGAGGTGGTAAATAATTTACCTTATTCCAGTCCCACTTTGTTTGTTCTTGACCATTTTTCTTTAGAAACCATTGAAAGATACAGTATTTGACACTAGAAAACCTAAGCTTATACTATAGCCTTTCTTTTATTATTTCTATCTTTAAGTTTCTCTAAGTTGTTTGTTTTCTCTAAGTTTGCACAGTATTTCACAGTCACAATCATTTTACTTTTGACAAAACTTCCTATCCTTACTTTTCAAATTATTTATGAGGCTGAAAAAAAAATGACCTGGTAAGGCCAGTTGTGGTTGGTTGTTTTTATTGCTTCCCATTTTACCTTTAAATGTCTGCTTCCTACTTTTCCATTTTTTTCTTGTATCTTCTGTTATTGTTGTTTCATCCCTCCTTCCACCCGTCTCCCCTTTTTCTTTCTGTCATACTTCATTTGTTTGAAAGTATTTATGAACTCTCAGCATCTGTTATCATCCTGGTTGCTAGTAACACAGTGGTAAGAAAACAGATCAAAATAGCTACTTTACTCTCATGAAACTTATATTCTAGTAAAATAGTATACACAATAATTAAAATAAATTTGTAAAATATGTAAGATGTTAGGCTGTGATATATCCTGCATTGTAAAATGAGAATAGAGAGTTTTGAGAGAATAAGTCTACATATAGTTACCAGGGTACATCTCTACTGAAAATGTTATATTTGACTGTTGACTTGAGGGAAATAAGGATTATAAACAATTCAACCTGAGAAGGAAAAGCATTTCAATAGAAAAAGAACAAGTGCAAATGTTCGTCAGCTTTAGTTGACGAATATTATTAATGTCACTTGACATTAGTCTTACACTTTGTAAGTGTAAATTCTGTATCTTATTTCTCTCTTTCTCATTAGAATATTCTTCCAATTTTCCCCATCACTAACAATTAAAAAGTTAACTGCTACTTTTTTTTCCTTTAGTGTACTTAACACCCTGTTGTTTTTATTCATATTGGAGACTTGCTATTTTGACTGAAATTTGAACCATGGAGTTAGTTAGCTTTGGTTCTAGGCTTGGGGTTTACTTAAGAATGACAGTACTTTTTTACTCATTTGCACAAAAGAATTCAAATAGATTGTGTTTTATTCATGTACATTGTGTTTCATACAATCTTCCATTTACATTGTATTTTTAAAAGTTAATTATTGATCTATGTCTATTATTTCATTACCATAGGCTCTGGCTCAAATGCTATTTCATTAAATTCTTCTGTATCTGCCAATTCCTTTCGATACAATGACTCAGTATATTCCTTCCATCTTCTTTTGATACCTCCTGGATCATTTAACGTTCTGCCTAAAGCATCCTTGGTTGTAGCAAGACGAGGTTTGAATTTGTTCTTCAGTTTTTGAGCTTAAGAAATGCTGAACGAGTTCGGCCTTTTGATTTTCCGATGGAGGCAGAAGTTCAAGCTGCTTTGAAGGAAATAGCAAAAAATAAGGCCCCCGGAATAGATGGTATACCAATTGACATCTTTCAGCTAACAGATGCTGCCGTGGATGTGCTAACCAAATTGTGCCAAGAAATCTGAAGAACAACCACTTGGCCAACTGACTGGAAGAGGTCTATATTTGTTCCCATCCCAAAGAAGGGCGACCCAACTGAGTGTGGAAACTACAGAACAATAACATTGATTTCACATGCAAGCAAGATTGTACTGAAGATTATCCAAAAACGACTGGAACAGCACATGAGCAGAGAGCTGCCAGAAGTCCAGGCTGGGTTTAGAAGGGGTCGTGATACTAGGGATATTGTTGCTGAAGTTACATGGATCTTAGCTGAAAGCAGAGAATACCAGAAGAATGTCTACCTGTGTTTCATTGATTATGCAAAGGCATTTGACTGCGTGGATCATAACAAACTGTGGCTGACTCTGAGAAGTATGGGAATCCCAGAACATTTAATCGTGCTAATGCAAAAACTATACTTAGACCAAGCGGCCGTCGTCAGAACAGAGCAGGGAAACACTGCATGTTTCAAAATTGGGAAGGGTGTACGCCAGGGATGTGTCCTGTCTCCATACCTTTTCAACCTGTATGCAGAGCAGATTATCCGAGAGGCGGGTCTCTATGAGGAGAAGTGTGGCGTTAGGATTGGTGGACGATCTATCAACAATCTGCGTTATGGAGATGACACAGCCTTGTTCGCTGAAACTGAGGAGGACCTCATGCACTTACTACAGAGGGTCAAGGACTGCAGCCTTCAATATGGACTGAGGCTCAATGTTAAGAAGACAAAAATTCTCACCACTGGATCAATCGGTAGCATCAGGATGGATGGCAAAGAGATTGAGATTGGTCATAGCTTCAGTTTGCTCGCCTCCACAGTCAACACCCTTGGCACCAGTAGCCAGGAAATAAAAAAACGTATTGCGATGGGAAAGTCTGCGGTTAGGGACCTCTCTAAAGTACTCAATAGCAACGGTGTCTCTCTGGAGAGTAAGGTGCGCCTGATGCAGGCCATGGTTTTTCCAATCACTTGTTATGCATCAGAGAGTTGGACAATGACTACGGAGGATAGAAGGAGAGTTGATGCCTTTGAGCTGTGGTGCTGGAGAAGAGTACTGAATGTACCATGGACTGCCAAGAAAACAAATAGATTCATCCTAGAGAGGGTTAAACCAGGCTGCTCCTTGAAGGCAAGGATTCTGGGGCTTCGCCTGACATACTTTGGACATGTTGTAAGAAGAGACAGGTCTTTGGAGAGGGACATCGTGCTGGGCAGAGTGGAGGGACGGCGCAGGAGGGGAAGACCCTCTTTGAGGTTGATTGAGTCAGTGACTGGGGTAATCAGGATGGATGTGTCAGAAGCAATGAGATTGGCACAGGATAGAGCAGGGTTTAGGGCTGTTGTACATAGGGTCGCTGTGAGTCGCAAGCGACTAGACGGCACATAACAACAACAACAATGTCTACTCTTACCCTGTCTTAAAAAAAGAAAAATACTGGTTTATTCACAAAGTTAGAATACATTGTTTTCACACCTGATCTTTCCCATTTCCTTCACACACACCCCATCAAATTGTACGACCCTATAATTAACAACCCCCCACTCATCCTCAATCTTCTGCTTCCCGCCTCTCCCCTTCTTTTATCTTCATACTCATTCTACAATAATGTTTTTTTACAATCTTTGTCCTAATGGGACTGAGTTAATACTCTCCAGTCCTTCCCAAGTTAGGTAGTAATTTACAAAATCCTTGTTCTTGTGTTCTTTGTTGTATTCCAACATGTAAATGTACTATAATTTCTCAATCCAATCAATTGTGGTTGGACATCTGGGCTGTTTTTATGTCCTTGCAATGGTGAATAATGCTACTATGAATATTGGTGTACAAGTCTCTGTTTAGGCCTCAGTTCTCATTTTCTTGTGTAATATTCCAAGCAATGGAATAGCTGGGTCATACGGAATTTCTACGTCCAGCTTTTTGAGGAAGTGCCAAACTGCCTTCCAGAGTGGTTGTACCATTGTACAATCCCACCAACAATATATAAGTGTTCCTATCTTGCTGCATCCTCTTCAACATTTATTGCTGGTTGTCCTGTCAAACTTTGCCACTGCTACTGGAGTGAGATGTTATCTCATTGTGGTTTTGATTTGCATCTCTCTTGTTGTCAGTGATTTTGAGCATTTCTTCCTGTGTCTGCTGGCCATTTTAATATCGTCCTCTGTGAAAAATTCTTTCCATGCCTTTTGCCCATTTTGTAATTGGGTTATCAGTATTTTTTTTGCGTAGGCCCCAGAGTATTTGTGACCCCATTGAACCTCTCCTATTCCTTCTCCCCACATCTGCTCACTAAACTCTACTCTCCTAGTGATTTCCCACCTTCTCTGTTTCCCACTTCCTTACCCTTTGGGACATTTATACACATCTTAATAGTTATATTTCTATTTCTACAATAACGGTCTTGTGCAACATTTGTCCTATGAGACTGTGTTAATTCACTCAGCATGGTGCTCTGTAGACTCTCCCAGGTTATGTGGTATTTTATGAAATTGTTGTTACTTAATCCTACATAATTCTTTGAACATACCATAATTTCTCAATCTATTTGTTTGTTGATATTTTAACTATTTCTATATCCTTATTATTGTGAATAGCCCTGCTATGAACAGAGCTGTAATATATTTCTCTTCATGTCTCAGTTCTAATTTTTATGTGTTATATTCTTAACAATGGAATAGCTGGTACATATGGGATTTCTATGTTTAGCTTTTTGAGGAAATGCCAAAATGCTGTCCAGAATGGTGGTACCGTTTTACCATCACACCAGTGGGTGCATGAGAGCTGCAGACTTTCCGTATCCTCTTCAACATTTATTACTTGCTGTCCTGTTAAGCTTTGTTATTGTTACTGAGATGACATTTCATTGTAGTTTTTATTTTCACCTCTATTATTGCCAGTGAATTTGAGCATTTCTTTATGTGTTTGCCATTTGAATATCTTCCTTTGTAAAAAGTCTTCTTGTGTCTTTTGCTCATTTTGCTATTGGGTTATCAGTCTTTTTCTTGTGGAGGCCCTGTAGTGTTCTGTCTTGAAGTTTCTACCAGTCTCTATTAGATTAGTAAGTCTAGACATTTTATGATTATTAGTTTTGACCACATTTTTCTCCCACCCTATCACATAAGTT